TCATCATCATCATCATCATCATCATCATCATCATCATCATCATCATCTTTTCTTGCATACGCTCATCAGTCGATGATTGCGTGGACCCGTTTGGTCCCACCTGGCGCCCCGAAGGGCCTATGGCCTCAACAGTTGATGGTGCGGTCAGCAGGGCGAGCAGGGTGAAAGCCCTTCCACCTGTAGTGACCGCAACACCAAATGCATTAAAGCAATCTCTAGCACGATCAGCACTGACCTCAAGGAGTCAAGTGCTGAAAAAACAGCAGGCAGGCACACCAACGAGGGGGTGTGCTCAGAAATGAAGCTCACTGCCAATGTTCCGCCAAGGGGCTGGTTTCGTCCCACAGCAAAGAAGCCACCGGAGGTGAAAACAAGAACCAACCCCCTGCCATTCATGAGCAAGTATTCACCAGCCTAGCTCAAACCAGCAGGCTGCCGTTCCCAGGAACCACCAGAGGCAGTGCCAAAAACTTGACCTTCCCAAAGTCGCCGTCATAGGCCCACCAGGTGCCACCTGCCCGTCTCCGGTAGAGTTAGAGTGGAGCTCAAAGCACCCTGCTCCGCCAAGAGTCCGGCAATTTGCCAAACCTATTAGTGAGGCTTCCACAACCATCTGCATCGCATGATGAGAAGTCTACCAACCTGAAGCACAAGGTGAAGGTGTCCACCAGGAGGTTGGTGACAGGATCCAGCCCAGACAACCAAAGCCAGTCCAGTCACCGTGGAGACCAAAAAAGGGAACAGGCCCGGCCTCCTCTAGTGCAATCCGGGGTGGCCTCGCCGGTTTCCAGGCCGTCCTCCAAGACCCGCCAGGTGCCTCCATCTTGGATGGCGGTGCAGTAGTGCCCACTGACAGCACCAATGCCCAGGTGGTAGGAGATGCCATGGTCCTTATGGAGCCGAGCAGTCATGGTGTCCCGCTGAGCTTGGTGGGCCTCCAATGAAGCAGCCATGTAAACAGGCGTTTCATGTTTGTGGATGGCGGCTGAGATAGGTTTGCTCTGGCCGCACCATGATCCATGGATTTTTGCCCACTGTTGTGCTCGTAAAGAGAATGTCTTCTGAATGTGAGGCTGTGTCCCATCCAGATGTATTGATTGAGGTCCTGGGCCACTCGGCTTCGCCTTGGAAAGGGTTTGAAGAGCCTGAAGAGTGTCGGCTCCACTGGGTCTCGTGGCAGACCCAGAACCCTCGGGCCACCAGGGTGGAGTCAGAGGAGTCCATGTGCTCATGTTGTACGTGTAGTAGGCCATGAAGAGTCCTGCAATGCACAGAACGAAGAGGCCTCTTCCAACCCTGGCCGGGGACTTGGGACCCCAGTGAGCGTGTTTGAAGGCTGCCACGTGTGTCCGCGAGCTCAATGAGCTTGATCGTTGCCAGGTGCTTGAGGAGCTGTTCGTGTAGTGATGGTTCTTCCGGTGGAGCCTGAAGAGAATGGCAGCCACAATCACGAAGAACAGGAGGTAGAACCTGAAGAGGTAGTCATTGAGCTCCTGGGGGTAGAGAGCTTGATCTCGGGGTCCTGGTTGATGGTGAGCAAAGGACCTGTAATCGAGACCATCGATCAGCACCGCGGTCATCTTCGGGTTGCCCATGTGCAGGAGGGTCATTCCGCACTTCCCCCGCAGCAATGTGGGCGATGGGGGTTGAGCCGCTCATGGCCCTTATCATCATCATCATCATCATCATCATCATCATCATCATCCATCATCCATCATCCACTGTGACTGGTAACAGGATGTGCCCAACGTATACTCTTCCGTGATGTAGGTTGACCACCTGAAGCTCCCCGGAGCTCCCCCAAAAGCACAATTGACTCCAATGGACTTGAGTACACTATATATATCTACTGTAGTTACAGCTATATATACTTACCCCCAAATAGATAGAGCAGTAGATCCCCACTAATAACGTACTTGAAACTCCGTTTCTATATGGAACCAATTTCGGGACCATTTTCTTCCTCACCTGTTCAATTGTACCTTGTCTTCCGCCGCCATCCAGAGCCCCATCCACGTGGTTTCATTTCGACGAAAGCACATCCACGTGGTATTGGATCCACTTGTGTCGATCCCTCCCGCTTTCTGGTTTTGATGTTGGTTTTCCCGTTCGAGTTCCAGTGAAGATTGGATAATATGAATGGATATGAATGAATACAGCACTGAAGGTTTGGCTTTCTACAGATTAAGACCAGAAGAAGGGATGAACTTTTGATTTTCGCATATTCGCTTAGAAGAAATACACACATAACATAATCAATATATTATATATGCTGCCTTCTTTGTGTTCCGTATGTTGGAGGATCATTACATCTTGCAAAAACTGGAGTATGATTATGTGAAGTTATGTAGGATGGTGTAGAAAACCAATGGAAATAGGGATCTGAGATCTGTCTCTCATTCACAGTTTTTCTGCGTCAGGCCCCAATGGCCGCGCGGCCAGCCGGCGACCGGCGATGCGCACGGTGACGTTGAAGGACATCGGCGAAGCGCCACTTGGAGGAGATGGGCGGATGGAGACTGGCCTGGCCCACCCAGGAAAAGTGGATAACCTGCAAAACTCTTGTTGGAGTTGGTTTCTCCACTACAGATGGAACGGGTGGAACGTTCAGTGAACTGTGATTTTCCAGGGTTTACGGTTTAGCGGTCGGCTTGGGAGGTAGTACTGTTCATGAACCAACACCCCAGGCCCAGAGATGTCAAACCATTCTGGAGATGGGGTGTTTTGTTATGTTTTATTAATCAACAGTCTACACAGGGTCTACACATGTCACACTGTCACACTCTGACTCGCTAACATGGAAGTGGAAAATGACCCTTGGAAGACTACTTTTCTTTACACAGGACACGGGGGTTGCCATCCACTTCCGCGTGAAGTGTTCGTCCACTCTCGCAATAGTACAAACCAGTCGAAAGCAAAACGCCTTCACCTGTCGAAGCCCGCATGGTCTGTTTTTGTTGACCCGCCTTGCCATTTCAGTCCGACCGAAGATAACGAGTTGTTGGGGTGTGTGATGTGCCTGACCTGGTGGTTCCCACACGGTGGCGCGTGGGCCGGTTTTGGGTTGACGAAGAAGAGATGGGAAAGGCAATGCACGCACAAGAACTAGATCGAGCGGGTCCACCACTTGGATGAAGTCTACTCTGTCGACCACTTGAAGGGTCTTCATGCAACTTCTAATGTTAAAAACGAGAATTACACCGTCTGAGTGGGTGGGTGTTGTCTTGGGTCTTTGTTCATGTGAAGGGTGAAGATGTCCCGAAGTAACTACTGGTGCCAAGCCTCTCATGCGACCCCTGGGTGCCCAGCGACGTAAAGAACCCCGCACTGATGTGTCCAAAGCCTCTTACGCTAACGCACTCAAGAAGAGATTCACCCACCATGGCCGGTGTCAGGTTTTTCAGTTATATTTGTGTGGAGGGTTGCGGTTTGCATGAATGGCTGACCTTTCTTCTGCTTCTTCCCCTTTGGATGAGTGAACAAGCTCATATCACCCATGTGTTGACACCTCGGCCGCCCACGTGTGCATCTCGACCACCTTTGACCTTGGTATAACGAGGTGCATCGTGCCGCAAGAAGACGAAGATGAGGAGGACTCAGAGGAGAGTGGTGTTGAGAAGAGCCACTTGGGCAAGAACTGGATCGATACTGTACCCGAGTTCATTGGTTCTTTGGAGCGTGTTATCAGACACAGAACCTACGAGTTTTCAGAGTGATTTTAAAGGTCTCTTCTCCGGCAAACACGTGGACTTGCAAGCTAGAGGCGGTGCTGGGTGATGTGTAGAGTCGCCCCGCAAAACAGGTCAGACGTGTTCGTCACAAATCATGGAGTCCTTGATTCTGTTATAAACTGGATGTCTTGTCACAGACATGGAATTCGGTGTCAAAACTGGATGTCATGGAGGCCAGAGCTGTCTAGGCTCGTGACCGTGTCTACAGCGACAGCTGACCGTCCGTAGCTGTCTACCGACCACGGACGGCTCGTCCGGCCGGCCGCGTCACACGTCACACGTCAAGGCGGTCGGCGAGCGGCAGAGGGTGAGGTGTCCTTCGTCCATGTGAACATGGAGGTGTCCGTGGAACGGGCGGGTGGTTCTTTTTCAGTGCTCCTAGCAGTGGAAATCAACGCCTGAAAGTCCTGGGATTTGTTGGATTCGTTGTTTGAAGAGATGCTGAGTGGTCCGGAGTAAATCCCGGACTCCAAATGGACGTCTGTGACATGTGAGTGCTCTTGGTTTGCTGATCTGGTTTGCTTGGGAGCTTGTCAAGTGCAGTACTTTCAGACGTCTGCAACGTTTACTACCAGTCAGGTCAATTACCTTTGCCTATAACCCAGAGACTCCATGTATGCCATATATGCCTACATCGGGGTGGTTTGGGGGGTCAATGTAGGTGTCTGGGTAAGGGAATATATTTTTCTTCGCAGTCCAGACAAGCAAAATCTGAGCCACTACATGAAGGCACCAGGGTTCGTTCGGTCCATGGTTTTAGTCGAACTGAAACCACCGGTTACCAGCGAACTCGTGCTTTGGCTGGATCCACTGGGGACTCGGGAGTGCCCGAAGCGAAGCGGCCGAAGGGAGGGCTGTGGTGCCCGAGCTCGGCAGAAGCATGGCCAGCATGGCCCATTGTAACTGGCAGCCAGATCCTAGTTGTTGTTGTTTTTTTTCCGATTTTTTTCGTCCGCTTTTTAACAGGATCAGCCCTGTTGTCAGAGAGACCGCGTACATTCCCTAGTGAAATGGGCTCTTAGTCGGATCCCTCCGAACCCAGAGATTTCCACATCAAAATTTGGATCTCAGATCTTTCTGCATCATGTGTTCCTTTCGTTCGACTGAAATCGTTTCCGGCATCATCAAAACTCCACTCCACCTGGTCCAAAATTCGGCCTCTTCGCGCGTTGTTTATACACAAACTGCGACGCTTCGCGCGCAGCGACCGCCCCACCTAGAGTAGCGATCGCTTCGGCGAGGTGCGCCTGGAGCCGCTCGACCTGCCGGAGCAGCGTCCACTCTTGACCCAGCGGCCGCGCCGGGAACGCTCAGGAACGATGTAGGTGATGAGACGATCATGATGGGAAAGGAGGACACTTGAGAAGGGGGCTTTGGGCTTTCCTGTTTATCAAGTTTAGATCAGTCTACCAGGCACCCCAAGGATCCCCCCCCTACGGACCCTCAGAATCGAGACATGAATCACGGAAGAGTCTTCGTTTTGAAGGAAGAGTTCCCAACAGCCGATTTTCGGAAGCAAACCGTAGCCAAACCATAGCCAAACCATATTCATATTCATACCCACATTGGTAGCGTTGGCCCAGACCGCTTAGCAACCGAGGGCACATTCCTGCTGCCATAGTGATTTCCTGTGCCAAACCTCGTCAGTATGAAACCGGACCCATTGAGTGAACAGCGGGCAGTGCGGCCATTCTGGCCGAGTGAGGGACAGGGACAAGGATAAGTATCAGACCCTGGTCATGGGAATTCTGGATGAATTTGTATAGCAACCCCACCAGTACGCTACCACCTGGAGTTCCTTTCGGGGTTCATGTCAAAAGGGTCCAACCCCTTTGGGTCCCACAAACTTGGGATCGAAACTCCCAGAAACTCTGACTGCAGCGATCCTGTGCGTTTGGGCAAAGAACACATACTGTAAAAACAATATTTCCATGCGCAGTGGTTCCGCAGGTCGACCCAAAACCCAAAAAAACATCGAAAAACCATAGACCCAACGACGAGGGCCTTGCGAGGCGACTCTCGGTTCCGTAGGATGCCTCCTGAGATCGGATGTGGCGGCCCAGCCCATGGGCATGAGCTATCTGCCCAGACACTCCAGGGGGCTGGCAAATGCACAATATTTTACAATATACTTATACATGTTGCCCATTACAATATTTACATGACTACAATTTATTTTACAATATTTTACATGTTGCCTACATTCACATCATTCACCCCTTTTCAACCAGCCCAGTGTATCAATATTCCAGTCCGGATGGTCCGTTTCGGGTGTTTCTTTTCGCCGCTCAGGTGCTCCTCCTGAGCTGCCGCAACGGCGACGGCGGTCGCCCCGCCGAGGACCCGGCGGAGATATCGGGGACGAGATCGGAGATCGGATGGTGAAGAGATGGAACAAGTGGAAGAACTCTGAGTGATGATTTTTATTTCAATTCCAGGTTTCTTTGCGACATCCCGGTTGGACTTACTTTTTGAGGTATTTTTGGTCCGGATCCTGCAGAAAGGATGCAGTTGCCAGACTAAACAGGTACAGAGACTCAACATGTAGATCCAGGTTTTTGTATCCCCTGCTAGCTAGTTGACGACGTTTACACTGGCTTCTATTAAGTCCATGGTTTCCATTGATGTGTTGTTTCCATCTTTTTCTGGCAACTCCTTGTTAGCCTCACCCCGCTCGAATCTAGATCATCAGCATCCTAATTTCACCTCAAAAGTGAGGAGACGCACAAGAGTGACACACCTGTTCCGTTCAGGTGTTCCATCGCCGCGCGCGCTGAAGGCGCGGAAGATTCCTGACGGAACGGCAGGTGATGAGTGCCACAAGCCACCACGCATCACAAAATTGGGGTGTATGAACGGGTTTATCTTATTTGTGTGCTCACCAGTATCGAGCATAATTACCTCCATCCTATGGGGCCTTATCCTTTTCCTTTTCTTCTCACTTGTCTTGCAATCAACAAACATGTTTCAATTCTACTGTGTTCCAAGACATTCAAATCCGGGCAGGTTCAAGCAAGATAATCAAGATTCAACATGAGTTGGGGTTAGTTGGGACCTCCCTGTTTGGTTACACTTGCGTACACACACACAGAGACACGGGTTTTCGTGATGGTGTCCCATATGTTGGGTGTGTTCCATTGCCTGTAACTGACAGTCGATAAAAGATTATCACTACTTTAGAGAAAGGGCTTTACTAACCATCATCATCCACTGTTGCAGGGAATGGGATATCCAATGGAAGGGGAAAACCAGGTGTTGAACGTATCCCAACTGATTTCCAGTTTGTTTGTGATGAATATTTGGACTATGATGCGCCAGCTTTGGAAGCTCCTGTATTTGCTATGGTTCCAGGCATCAGCAGTCCAACGTGATTTCTCTCTAGTTTATCGTCTACATGAGCTCCAGTGGCCATGGGCCGCATTTTTACACTGATAGCATGCAAGTGCTGCAAGTGTGACAAATTCTACTTGCAGAGCAGCCCCTTGAAGCCTTACAAGGTAATGCATAGCAGCAAGAATCGAGGTTGAGGCCATGTATGGTCTACGGCTGTCAGATGCTGGCTTGAGTTGACTTCTGATGGACTTGCATACCTATTGGTTTGTAGGTTATCTACCAGTGGACCAAGAGCCTGAAATAGAAGCTTCGTCGAGGGCCCGGCAGGTTCACAGAGTGTGTGACCACGGATGTGCACGGTGAAAACCGTTTCCGAAATCCAATGCTTTGGCCACCGGGGGGGATTGCCGACTCGGTGGCCATGGAGGGATGGGCGGGGGTACTTTCTTTCGATGTGCAGTCCTGTCCTCTATAGAATCCTGTGTACTTTATTCATAATCACACACATTTGAACCAGACGCCGCAAAAAGGTTCGATTTCAACTAACAAGTTCCATGTCAACTATATATGTATAATATATATAATTGCATATATTTGCCAATAAATCCAGTTTTGTACTATAGTATAACATAGTCGCATGGAATTCCATCTCATTTGTCATTCTACTTGAGTGAGTTGCTTTTTTGTTTGAACATGCCCGGTCGCCGCTCCACCGACAGCAGTGGCACGCTCCGACCTCCGGTGGACCGGAGACCACCGGTTGACCACCCACTCAAGCAAAACGACAACCCTTCTTCTTGCAAAGGCCACGTGTTGTTTCGGTGCGTTTAAAAACACACACACACCTCCACGTGGTCTCAGACATGACATAATATCAATTCATCCATGATGGCTGGATAGCAGGAGAACTCTTTGAGCAGCTCACCGCATGCGAACGAGCAGAGCCGCTGGGAGCTCTTCAGGGTGGGGCTTTAGGAGACCCAAGATAGGACCACGGGGTGGTCTATAGAGAACACCGTAAGAAGGTCGTGTAGTATGCGGGGGATTGTTGTTGTTGTTGTGGTTGCACGATTCTTTTGTTGCGTATTTGGTGATTTGGTGTGGTTATCCTGTTATATAATATGTATAGTTGCGTTTTTGGTTATTGGTTGCCTTGCATTGCAGGCATTGAGCTCTAATTTGTGTCTTTACAGTCAGTCAAAGAGGTAGATCGATATCAGAGGAGGATAGCAGTTTGATATAGTTTGATGCACTATGTGTTTTTGTCACTTGCAGCGAAGGTTTAGGGATTTAGGGGGTAGCTGAAACTAATGACCAAAGACTCCTGGCAGATCAGAAGAATGAGCCGAATGGGACGTTCATTGATGAATGTGGATCCATGGAGTTTCCATCCAGCTAAAGGTTGTCCTGAGGTAAGACCTCAGCACATCAAACGAGAAGACGGAACGTCGATCAGACCGTGCGACCGAGACCGATGTCGTCCTGTCTAACCCCTTTTGACCGGTCCTTTCGCGGCCGGCGCGGCCTCTGAGGTCCGAGTGGACGTTCCGTCTCCCGGTCACCGAAGACCGCGACGGCGACTTCCGTCACTCAGAGATCAAGGCCACGACGTGTACAGAATCCCTTAGTCACTCGGAGTCACGTGGTGGTCAGACTGAGTCGCGAAACACTCGTCGTTTCTCGTCTTCAAAAGGGGTTTTTCTTTCGGAGCGCGGTGAGTTCTGTTTTTTTGACATAGATTTTGCCTTGCTACATGGTCACTTTGGTCTTTGTGGAAGGTGGGTTTGTCACACTTTTATATGGGAAATCCTGACTGTCCTGGTCAAGGGTGGCGAAGCGTTTGTTTTCGCCGTGGCTTCGTCATCGTTCGTGATCGGATCTGAAGGGACGGCCGAAAGAACATGAGCACTGGGGGATTCATTGAGAGAACAGAGTCTCCGACTTTGTAAATGAAGGATTTAAGGAGGTTTGGTCTTTGGAGAGGTGGTCTTTGCAAGCTCCAACCACAAAAAACATGTTCATGATACGCCACAGATTCATCAACTGCCCACACTAGTTTTCCGGAGCCAGCGGTTTTAGGGGCACATGGTAGTAGGTGTATCATGGTGCATCACTTAAACGGGAGTGCAGAACTCTGTGTGATTCTCAATTGAACTCCGATTCACATGATGTGAACATGTTCCAAGCATGTTCCAACCCCTCCAAGTCACCGGTTCTCCAACCCATTGGCGCATCTCATGCTTCTCCCGTTCGACCAAAGGTGGTGCTTCCCACCAAGGTGGTGGCCCGCTTTCGACCAAAGTGTCGATTGCAGAACGGGGAGGGCTACGCGAAGGACAAGCACCTTCGCAAGGCGGATGGTGACACCATCGGCCCAAGAACCCGTCGGCCCGTGGGACGTTTTGGTGTTTGGTGCACTTTCTTTTTTTGGGGTGGCTTCAAGTTCAATCCATTTTTGTCTTATGTTTGGTGATAGGTTGAAGAAGTCTACGTAGCATTGTCTTTGTGACTGTCATGTCGTGGCTAGTTTGGGACATTCCCCAAGCACCAAACTGACAAACGCGCCTGGGAAAGATATCCTTGCTTCCCTTTTCCAAACATGTGTTTCGCCGACTCATTGCTGCAATCAGTTCTATACTGTGTGACTTAGCTTGCTAGTTTTTATAACCTTTCAGAGTTTGTTTCATCGTACTCTCCTCACAGATGACCTACAGTAGATGACCGAACCATCCTTACTTCCTACCCAGTCAGTGGATCACCCCACCGGAGCTGTGCAGCTGTTTTCGGATCACCAAAGAGGTGGCGTACTTTCGGGGGATTCCTCCGACCGGGATCTGTTTTCGTGTTTTGAGGATTCCTCCGTCAGAAAGTGGTGTGTGATTTTTTGACCTTCAACCTTTACTTGGGGATGAACCCACCGACGAATAAAAACATAATATAGCAAGTATATGAATTGCAATGAGTGCTGTCGACGAAAACCATGTTTGAGGAGCAACGAACATATGTCGACACGCTCCAGCTTTTGGTTCAAGGGCAACCTTACCCCCCTGTCACCCCAATGTGGGTGGCAGGGGGAGTGAACCGCGAGGCCTGGCATGGCTTCAAGTTCCGTCAGGGGATGTTGCTCGAGGGAGCCATCCGCGACGATGACGGAAAAGCCCAAGGGACGGTGATCCTCGAGGTGTTGGACAGCCTCAGCACCGATGCCAAAGGGCATTGGATCCATGGGCGCTACGTGGCGGCTAGTGACCCGCATATGCGGTGGTGGATGTCAGAGGGAGCCGGGAAAGGGCTCGCCAAGAAGTGCGCCTACCACTGCTGTGAGGTCCCGAGCATCGATTGCCCAGTGAGTCGCCGAGGGGCCGCCATTCACCTCGAGCGATTCAGAGCGCTTACCCAGAAGGAGATTGACAGAAAGGTGCCGTCTTGGGCCTTCGCGAAAGAAACGGGAGGGTCCTTTCTGAAGTACCTGAAAGGGCGCAAAATGGACCCCGAGAAAGAAGAAGCAGCGGGCGCTTTACCCTGGGTGGACCCAGGTGGTGAGGACAGTGAAGAGGAAGGGAGCGAGTCTGGTGAGGACAGCTCCGGAGATAAAGGTCTGCGGGCCAAGCTCCTCAAAGCCAAGCATGAAGTTGGAAAGTTGGAAAAGGAGCTTCTGGCAATGAAGAGCCTCAAGAAGGCCGCCAAGAAGAAGCTAAAGAAAAAGAAGCCAAAGAAGGCTCATGACAAGGAAGAAAAGGAGGCCCACGCCTCGGAGGAAAAGACGGGCGGCAAGAAGTCCAAGGAGAAGAAGCGGAAGCCTTCACCCTCCTCAGGAGGTGCAAAGAAGAAGAGGAAGACCACTGGCTCCGGCAAGAAGAAGGAAGCCAAGGAGACCAAGGACAAGAGGAAGACGATGTCTGATACCTCCAGTGAAGAAGACCTGGAGTCGGGAGAAGGGCTCTTCGGGGCCGACCCAGTCAAGGGGAAGGCTGCGTCTGGGGCCAACACGCGGAAGGACCGTGGTCCGTTTGGAGGCGGAGACATTGTGAGGTATCGGGGGGAGTCCAGCAGTGAGTCAGAGGGAGCTTTTCGCGAAGCCCCCACAGCTCCAAAGGCATCGAATCAGCTCAAGCTGATTCAGTATTCGAAGAAGACGCCGGGCCGTCTCGCATCAAGGCTGTTGCTGAAGATGCAGACCGAAGGGGCCCTAGGAGCTGTGGGGGCGAGCCCCACCGAAGTCGGCGAGATGACTCCCCACGGTGCATTATTTCCACACCATGATCGTACCTCAGCTGGGGCAGAAGCCCACCTTTCGGGCGCACAGGGAGCTCAGGACACTTTGCACAGTCCTGGACCTTCTAGCAAGGAAGCAGCCCGCCCATGCGGCAGATCTGGTGGGCCAGAGAGTGAAAGCAATAGAGAAGAGCTGCCACGACGGTCACTGGGCAGCAGCCCAGTACCTCGAGCTGCTGGGCCCCGACGGGGGCGCTCTCCTGGAGCGGGACGAGGAAGTGTTCATGAACAGGGAGCATCTCCTCGACCTCAAGCTGAAGGGGTGGCAGCCTCCGAGAGGGGACAAAGACGGAAAAGGTCACAGGGAGAAAGGAGGAAAGAAAGGGAAGGACAAGGGAAAAGGAAAAGGACAAGGACAAGAAGGACTAGTAGCAGAGGAGAAGAAAGAAGCTTCACCGGAGCCGAAGGGCTCTGAGAGTTTGGACTGGAAGGCATTCCTGGGAGAAAGGAGGTCACCGGTCGACGTCCTAGCGGGTCTGTGGGACATGATGCTTGCAAAAGACACGCCATGTTGTCGCCTGGCGCAAAGTTCTGTTGCCAAAGGGGTGCCTCCCGAGGGTTCTTCCTCAAAGAATTTGCGGGGCGACGACCTGCTTCCCATCAGTCCTGTCGCGGTCGAGCGGTACCTCAAGGAGAAACACCCCAGGATTGCCCGAGGAGTGACCTGCATGGTGAACGCCTTGAACTTCTTGGCAAGGGCCCAAGCCCACGGAGGCTGGACGAACCTGGAGTTTCCCAAGGAGCTCACAAGGGCTCAGAAACTTACTGTGGAGCACCTGTGCAGAGCCCTGTGCTATGTCGAGGCTTCGGGGTTGAAGTGTGAGGCCTTTGAGGATGCAGCCCAAAAGTTGGCGGCAGCTCGGTTTGACTACCAGGGCGAGCCGGTGATGCCCATGGAAGACATCGTAGCCGAGAGAGTGATTGCGGCCTGGCCAAAAGTGGGCCAAGCAGCAGTGCAGGAAGCTGTGGAGTTTCTCCCGGAGCCCCTCCGACGCAAGCTGTGTGATCCGGAGTCCTGCTTGAAACCAGCGCAAGATTGGCCAGTCAAGCCCCCACACTCGAAGGTGAGAGCCTCGGATGAGGAGTGGGCAAAAGTGGTTCGGGCTGCCTACGAAAGAGGGCTCATGGTGGCTGTAGAGCAAGATGAGGTCTTCAAGGATAAGGATGGTCACCCGGTGCTTAATGGTGCCGGAGCAGTGAAGAAGGAAAAGAAGGTGGATGGAGTTGTCCATAGGGTGCAGCGCTTCATCAGCAACCTGATCCCAGCCAACTTTTACCAAGAGCGGATTGATGGCGATGACAAGCTGCTGCCGCACCTGGGCCAGCTGACCCTCCTGGAACAAGAAGAGGAGGAGGTGTGGCTGATTGATTCGGAAGACTTCACCAGCTGCTTTAACCTCTTCCAGCTGCCCCAGTGCTGGCACAAGTACATGGCGTTTGGAAAGGCTGTTGACGCCTCCCTCCTGGGTGGGGAGGCAGGAAAGATTGTCTACCCCGCCATGGCCGTGCTTCCTATGGGCTGGATCAGCAGTGTGGTGATCATCCAGAGCATTGTCAGGACATTAGTGTTCAAGGTGGCGGAGATCCCAGAGGCATCAGAAGTGGCTAAGACAAAACCCCTGCCAGAGGGAGGAGATCTGACAGTGATCTACTTGGACTCATACGACCAACTCCGAAAGTTCAACAAGAACTGTGCAGAGGTGCTGGAGGGTGTGCCGTCGGACAGACACGAAAGGTTCTTGGCCGCCTGCAGGGAATTGAAACTGCCACTGAACGAGGGTAAAAGGCTTGTGGCTACAGTGCATGGAGCCCTCCAAGGAGGCGAACTGGACGGAGATTTGGGCCGTTACGGGCTGGCACTGGATAAGATGCTGAACATCCTTACCCTTGGTTCCACCTTGTTGGCCAAGGAGAAGTGGACTGAAGCAGAGATTCGTCACTTTGTGGGGAAGGCTACATTCGGCTGCTGTTTCAGAAGACCCCTCTTTGCAGTGTTCGAATCGCTTTTCACGGAGATACAGGACAGAGCTGCAAACCAGGACAGAGCTGCGCCTCGGCCTGAGAGTTGGGATGAGGTTGCCATGGTTATGGCGCTGACTCCGCTCATGTATACGAATCTCAGGGCCCGCATCGACCAAGAGGTTTCAATCACGGATGCCTCGCCATCTGGGGGTGGAGCTGCCACGGCCGTCGAGTTCTGTGATGCACCGTGCACCATTGCACGTGATCCGACGGTCTGTGCTCAATGCGGAGCCGACGTCCCAGAGCATGACCAGTACCCATGCCCTGCTATCTGCGGGGCCACTCTCTGCTCTCTCTCCTGTGTCCTGACCCATCGGGAGGGAGCGGAAGTGTGCCCAAGGAGCTCATGGAGAGTACCCAAGTTTGGGGAGAGGTTTGCGGGACGAAGAGCGCCGCTGAGCCATGCAATGGCCATGCTGGGCAAGGTGGAGGTCCAACCCCCTTTTGACTGGTACTTCGGTGATGACATCTTCACTGATGAAGGAAAGGAAACGCTGAGGGACCTGATGAACGACCCATGTCTGGCTGTCGAACACTGGGCACCTGAATGCAAGCTCTTCAGCAGAGCCCAAGGACGGCCGATCAAGCTTCGCAACGGTCGCACGATTGCTGGCCCGCAGCCGGTCCGGGACGCTAACCACGTCATGGGCTATCCGTGGTTGTCGAGCGAAATGAAAGCTAGAGTCCGACAGTCTAACCAAATGGTGCTCAGGGCTCTCAAGAGAGGCAAGGAGGACCGGAGAGGAAAGAAGTGCTACTGGTCAGTGGAGCACCCACGACGCTCATGGATGTGGGAGTTTAAGCTCGTCAAAGACATGGAAGAATGGCCAGAAATGAAGTACTCAGTGGGGTCCCATTGCTGCTTCGGCGGAGAGCGGGAAAAGTGGTTCGCAGTGCTCAGCGATCTCCCCACGCTGAGGTGGCACCTTTCCCGAGACTGCCCGGGCCATGAAGGTTTGAGGAGCTATGAAGTAGAAGAAATGCCAGACGGCACGCTGCGTTACCCCACGGAGGAGGAGGCGGAATACCCGTGGGAGATGTGTAAAGCTTACGCCCAGGCTGTCAAGGAGCAGCTGGAGGCAGATGGACACTTCGATGCAGCTGTCTTGGAGGCTCGGCAAGCGCACTACTTGGAGGAGTTGGCCATGTCCACAGACAGGTTGGCGCATCCTGAAGTGGCAGGGCCAGTGGCTGGGCTGCTGGCATCAATGGAGCAGTCAATGATGAAGGGGCAGGAGAAGGAGCACCTGCGCTACCTCCTCCGGCAAGCAACTTACCGAGGTTCAGATGTCCGACTGTCCCTCGAGCTGCCCGACGGGCAGGTGCATGAATTACCCTACCTGGCCATGAGGTGGAAGTGGCGCACCTCTATGGCCTATGCATGGCGGCAAGAAGCTCATATCAATGAACTTGAGCTCTTGGCAGTGGCTGTATTCCTCAAGCGCAGAGCGCGGACTAGCACGAAGCAACACCAGAGGTTCTTCCACGTGCTGGATTCGATGGTTACCAGGGGCGTCCTTGCAAAGGGTCGCAGCAGTTCCAGGAGGCTCAATAGGGTGGCACGAAGGTGCAGTGCCTACCTTCTTGCGATGGACGACTACATCTTTCCGCTTTGGACCATCAGCGCATGGAACTTTGCGGACAAGCCAAGCCGAGCACATGAAGGGAAGTAAACGAGGCCTGAAGTTTGCAGGCCTGCACCCACGCACCCTACGAGCCTACAGAACAGCCCTGGATAGATTTTTGAAGCATGTCAAGCGCAGAAGGCTTGATATAGCAAAGCCACATCGCCTGGATCGCCAGTTGGCCGAATTCATTGACCTCTCCTATCAGGAGGGTGAACCCATGAGTTACTCAGGGCACCTTCTTTCCGCCATCAAAAGATTTCACCCAGAATTAAGACTGGAGCTGCCACGGGCAAGCCAATACTACCGCAACTGGCAGCGCTGCTACAGGCCGGTGCGAGCCATTCCGGCTCATTGGGAGTTAGTGGAGGCCCTTATGGGCCTGGCTCTCAGTCAAGGCCAGGCGACCTTCGCCCTGCTGTTAGCCGTGGGACACCTGGTGATTCACGACCGGGGCCATGGCATGAGTGTGATCCTCCCTGGGAGCAGACCTCACAAGGAAACCCTCAGGTGGTCCTGGTACAGGATCGGCAGCTGGTCAGCTTTGCTCGGAGCATTCTGGAACCTCGTCGTAAGGATTTGCTCTGGCCTCCTGGGCCCCGTCAGTTTCGCGTGCAGTTTGCCAAGATGCTGACAAAGCTGGGCTTTGCTCCGGATGACTACTCACCCTACAGCCTCCGCAGAGGGGGCGCCACGTGGTTCTTCCAGTCCTCCCTCAGCATGGATGCCACAGTGGCACGTGGGCGCTGGTCATGTAGCAAAACGGCCAAGCAATACATCGACGAGGGCACTTCACAGCTTGCCCAGGTCTTCTTTACGCCTCTGCAGCGATCTCGGATCCGCCTGTGGAGGTTGGAGGGAATGCGGCTGCGCCAGGAAGGCAGGAAGTGGAAAAGACAGTGAGCCCTTCCTGTTGGACGCGGGCAGTGAGGCTTCTTGAGGCGACGCCATGTTCTCTTGAGAACGTGCAAGGTT